GGTAGTTTATTATATCATCAAAAAAGAGTCGCTTAATGAATAACTTGCACTAAACACCTATTTGACTATTTTATTCAATTCCAAGGAAATATTCAGGTTTGATCCGATTGTTAAGGAACACTTGCTCGAGGAACAACTTATAGAAAAGAGCTATTCAAATACTTCTTTCAATTCCAAGCAAGGAATGGTAGTTTATTATATCATCAAAAAAGAGTCGCTTAATAAATAACTTGCACTAAACACCTATTTGGCTATTTCGTTCGATTTCAAGCAAATATTCAGGTTTGATTCCATTGTCGAGGAACACTCGCTGAAGGAACAACTTCTAGGAAAGAGCTATTCAAATGTTTCCTTCTATTCCAATCAAAGAATGGAAGTTTAGTATAACATGAGAAAACACTCAATGAAAGAATAGTTCATACTAAACATTTGTTTGATCATTATATTCAATTGCAAGCAATCATTTGATTGTAATTCCGTCATTGAAGAACATTCGATCAAGGAATAGCTTACATCAAAGTACTATTTAAATATTTTGTTCATGTTGAAGGAAATATGTTATTTCGATTGCACTGTCGTCGATGACTCGATCAAGGAATATCTCACACCAACCAACTATTCAAATATTTGTTGAAGTTGGAGCAAAGATCTGTAGTTGATTATATGTCCAGTGCTGATACCTGAAACCTTGTGATAAAAGAAGAATTTCTACGTTTAAAGATTGCGTGATGGAGCAAGCGTTGAGCCGCTGTGTATGAATTGTAGATTGTCGCCACCAAAATGATAAAAACGATCAAAGAAATCATTGCATTGATTTAATTCATTCCCACTTGTTGCTTTTCGAAGCTTGAGGATACACTGATAAATGTATATCGACAAGTATCTGACTGATGCAGTCGTACAGTTGTGCTTCGACTTTATATATTCATTGACAACCTGGCAAGGAGAAATTTGCAAAAAAAATAGTTTCTTTTTATAAATAGTCAGATAGAGAGAGAGAGAGAGATTTGTTTTTTTTTGCTCTTAGAGAGTGATTTTTTCTCGTAGATAGATGTGGATATCGCTACTAATGTATAGCAAAATGATGTATATTTTCACAGTGATGTCTTTTTACTCACCTGGCAACTTTAGCTCTATCTACATTTAGATAGGCTTTTTCTTTTTTTTATTATCTCATGTGACTGTCCATGAAAAAAAAATTTAATCAGCGATTATGCATTTATCACATTTATTTATCTATGATTCTTTTTTTATCCTATCCAAATAGAAAAGGACGTCTGTTGTTCATTGTCTCAAAGAGAAGAGCGAGAGAGAGAGAAAAATATATTGACGTGGTGACTATCATCGACAATGAAAATAATAAGGACGCAGCGAAAAAAAAATCATAGAAGGTATACGATGAATGAGAAACAGTTAAGACGATACACTATTAAAATAAAGTTATTCATGTGTGACCAACAGAAAATCGAGAGGAGACAGATTCGTTTGTTTCTCTCTCACTTTCTCTCTTTCTTTCGATTTCTCATGGTCACTTGCTTGCGTACTCTTAACACGCGACATTAACGTCGAACCAACGGAAAAATAAACTGATCAGTATATGAAGAATACTAATGAATGTCGTAGTATCCACTTTTGCTCTGTAGCAATCGACTTACCGAAATAAAATTAATTTTTTAAAGTAATTGCCTTATAAGAATGGTTAAAGGACTATGTAAAGTTAATTCAACGAAGTGTTTCATGTTATTTATAGTCAATTTGAGTAATTTAAATCATTTGAAAGAAAAATAAGTGCATTTTGATCATTTTTCAGTCATTCTGTGTCAGAGAAAAAGACTTTAAAATTCAACGATAGCTCCAGGCATTCGCTATCGAATTATGTAAAAATCTTTCAAAAAAAATCAATATTTTGAATGAGCTTTTACAAAAATGCTAAATGCTATATCAAAGTAATTCGAATCACCCGTTTGGGATAATTCAGATCATTCTAGTAAAAATGGCTAGAATTTCATTTTTCCAATCTCATACTTATTATAGACGGTAAATTTTATATAGATTCTACTTTTTAGAAACTCGAGTTTTAAAATTTTAAAGCATTTTCAAACTTTTATTATTCATTGGTCACATTTTAAATAGTTAGAAAATGTTTCATTTTCTAGATAATACAAATTCAATTCGATTTTCGAAAAAATGGAAAATCAACAATGATTTTAAACAATATTCGAAATTCTATTTCTGTTTCGAGAAAGTCATTGTACTAATTATGATGTGTTTCTTATGTTGTATTAATAATTTCTGTTTCATTCGTATGCCTTATTTTTGAACTCTTGTTGAGTAATTTTTTAAAATTTCTTGATGTTGACGTACTTATTCAACATGTTTTCAAATCTTTCGTATTTATTAATTTATTGAAGACTTAAGAAAAACTAAAAATACCGTTTTCATTTTTTTTTATATTTTTTTGCTTTATTTCAAATCATTAATATATGGAGTGGACTAGTGAGGATGTGTCAAGATGGTTGACTAAGAATGGTTTCGATAAATACGTTCAAGAAATTTTAACTATCGACGAATAGCTTAGTATTTAATTATTCAGTCTGTTTTTTTGTATCTATTGTAAATGAAAACTTAATGGTTTATCTGTATTACATCTAAGTTAATTGTCATTGGAAGAATTATTATCATTTAATACAGATGATGATGAGAATATTATTAAGAAACAATCTTTGGTATTAAAATAACATTGGAAAAAAGCTGGGACCTAAGAGACAATACTTATTCATTTACTTTAGTTGATCAACTTTGTTTTTTCTCTGTTTTACTATAATTGAGGTATACAGCAAAAAATAATTTGATATACTTAAACAACAATTGCACTGCAATGAATCGAATAATTTATTATTTTTCAATTCTTTCAATATTGATAGTGTACACCACCATAGCGAACAACGGCACCAACTTAAATTATCTCTACCAACTTTATATACATCAACACAATCACTTTATCAATCTTTATTGAACTCAAACTGTTTACAAGTTACTCATACACCACTTGACCTATGCTCCATCAATTATTAGATCACTCTTCAACGAGTTCAACAATATCCCAATCAAGAAAAAAAATTTCATTAGAGTGGATGGTTCCAAGATTTGATAAAGCTCTTGAGAAAGTTGTTAAAGATTCATCACAAGCAGACTTTAGAGCACGATGCGAAAAAAAACAACAATTACTAAAAAGCAATTCGAGATCATGTGATCAAAACTTATGACATTGATTGTAATCCAACAACATTTGAATTCGATCATATGATAGTTAGCGTCAAAAATAAATATTCAGCACTTAGAAAAATATTTGGCGAAGATATCATATGTTAGATAGAAGATCAAATACTTTGTTTTCATCTTTATTTTTTTTTCTTGTTTAGAGTTTCTGCAGCACCAGCACTAAAACAACAGTTCTCTCGTGATAGACAAGTATTCGGTTATTCGTGTAAGATATTGTTAAAAAAAATTGTTAATCATATGGTCATCAAATACCAAGATAAAAATTGAAATTTGTTATGGTTGACAATTATGTCGTTAAGTAAGAGTAAAACTATTATTTTATATTCTTTGAATTCTTTTTATGTTTTTAAACATGTTTAGTTGAAGAAAAAGAACAATCAGAAGAATATCCGATGCAATTATATATCAACATGCTGAATCAATGCTTATTTAATTAATACAACAAATTATGATTGTGATCAAGTTCTCGTTAAAATAAACATTACATATGTATGTACATCGTCAACATCTTTTTCAAAGGATGAAACTAATCCAAGAAGTTATCAAATTTAACCCAATTTTATTGATGGCCAATTCGATAAGTCCTAAAAAGCGTATTTTTTTATTGCCTAATAACTCATTCAAATATTGGTGAGTTTAAACAATTCATTCAAAGCATCCGACATAGTCTAAGTATCATGGATACATCTATTCTTTTTTATTTTTTTTCTATGAACAGCTTATTCATGAAATGAATTTTTGTCCTGATTCATTTGTTGGAGATATATTTCAAGTGTTAGTCTAGTTGTACAGAATTAGGCAGATATTTGGATGGTCAAAGAAAACAAAATATTAACAAAAGTAATGTACTTTTATTGTCATGCACAAAAGCCAATGCGAGCAATTGAAAACAGGAATTTGTATGAACTCACCACACACTATGGTAGGTTGTTATGTTTATTCTTTGCAGTTAATGTCTGAGGTCGTTACTTATTAGTTTATCTGAAGAAAAGCTTTGTTTTGAAGTAAAGAAGACATTTTACGTATGTCATTTCATTGAAAGCAAATATTTTTTATACTAAATTCGTCAATAGAAGTGAGATGTTTTCCCCACTAATAAAACTTGACTTAGACGACATGAGAATCGTCGTCATGTTTTCTTCGTCGATTATATATTCCATCAAGAAAACAACTAACAGTTACTCTTGATTATTTACCACTTCAGCGTGAGACATACATGTATGTCATACATACAATGCTAGAACAGAACGCAAAATGTGACATCCAGATGGAGAAAGACACAAGAAGGGAAACACAAACAACACAGGAAGAGAGAGCTCTCAATTAGAGCCAGTGTGTCATGACTGAATAGCATACAATTGGAATAATCCCACTGAGCAAAGCATTGCGTTATTTTTTTGTGATAAAATCCCTCTGACGTTGGTTCTACATTATTCTGGTGGGAATAAAACTGACTGTATGATAGCAATGACTGAAAGATCTATATAAACAAGAGCACGAGTCACAAAAATTCGAGAAAAAAATCCAGTTTTTCTTTACTCGTCTTCTATATTTTCATTATCACATTTATTCAATAAATAAATTGAATACTCGCAAACGTTGTATTAGAGATTCTTCGAGAACAGAAAAACATTTCAAGGTTTTTTCCTCTCTTGATTTATTTAACATGATATAGTCTCAAGATCTCGATTTTTAGATAACTTTTATTCGTTCAGACAATGTCCTCAACGGTAAATGAATCGATGCCAACGTCAACAACACAAAATTGCACTAAAACACTCTATCTTATTCGACATGGTCAATCATTAGCTAATCGTGATCTTGCTGAAACAGTAAGTTTGATCAACACTGCTTTAGATGTTCTCATAAAATCGGTAGAAAATCCTTCGCTCACAATCTTTTTTGACTTTGTTTTTTGTAAAATTCCTCTATTCATAATAAGAGAACAAAATAATGTTTCATTGCAGAGAACTATATTGTGATAATTTCAAGGTTTGATTCGATTAGTATTTGTATACTTTCATCTTCACCATCTAATTCATCTTTTTGTTATTTTTTCTACTCAGATCGAATATCAAGATGCTGGTCTTACCGATCAAGGCATCACTCAAGCTCGAGGTCTTCAACAACATCTTGAGACACTTGATCTCGAATTGGTGGTTGTCAGCCCGCTTACACGAGCTCTTCAAACATGTGATAGCGCGTTGCCTGCCTCCTACTCTGGCGTGGTTATTGTTCATCCTAAAATTCACGAAATCTGTGACTCGTATTATAGTTGTGGACAAAAACGAGCAATTATTCGACGAGATTTTGCTAAATTTGATTGGTCGCATGTGCCAGAAAACAATGTATGGTGGTGGCCTTTTGATGAGCACGGCAAATCGGAGCCAACTGAAAGTGCTCATGAGCGCATATGTAAGTTCAAACAATGGATACAAGAAAGAGCAGAAACACGAATTGCCATTTTTTCTCACGGAGATTTTCTGTATGATTTTATGGACAGAAAGGGCTTGTATTTAGGAAATTGTCAGGTGAGAGCGTTCAGCATTGCTTAGATCACCTGCGCCCCACCTTCTTAAATACTGTTTGAACTCTATATTTGTTATTCAAGATGTAATGATTTTCACAATAAAATATATATTCATATGTCAAAGGAAAAATCCACGAAATAGAGCAATTGATTTCTTTGTCGGTAGAGTTTTGGAGTGTGAGCGTGGATGTGAATCTTCCCTCCATCCGAACCTACATCCACATTCAAATGTTAGTTCCTTCTCATCAATTCCAAGAAAGTAACTACTTCAGTTTATCTGAAACGAAATATTGACTGTGACTGAATGCAAATATCGTTCTTATCGTACTTCACCATTGCTACTACTTATAATGTACCATAATATCTTCATGATTTTTATGAAAAAATTCCACGAAAATCAAATAACAAAATTAATGAATAATAAAGATCTTCGTGTAAAAAATAAATTTGTACTTTAAACATTTCTGAGTGTTACACAAGTAAGCCATACGAAATTGACACGCGGACTCAAATTGTGTTTTCACTTCAATGATGATGATTTTACACTATACGCTTTGTCATGAAATCATGACAAACTAATGAATCATATATTTCTTTTCATCGCTTGATTTATTTTACATGTGAAAACGTTGCAAGAAATCATGCTTCCCTTTGCAATATGAAATGAATAGTCTACACCAAAGGCTGGAATAATTTGAATATAAGGCTGGGTGTGGATGTTGGTATACAATAAAGGACAAAGCATACCCCACACTAACACCCACACCCACACTCCTAGAGTATCTGTTATCAGTTACCTGCTAACAGTAACTGTATTCCCCTATTCACAAACCAAACTTATTCTATCTGATCGTAAGCGACTCTATGAGGAATTCAACTGTTTGTTCTGATATCGTGTGACATTACACACAATGAGACGATTTGTTTAGGAAGATATTCAACTCAGCGATGTATTTCAAAGGGCCAATGTAAGCTTTCGGTCTAATTATTTCTTAAAATGTGACCAGTAATATAAAATTGCTTTTAGATTTGTGAAGGATGAAGCTAAGTTTTAGTCTTACCGAATTTTTATTGACCAAATTCGATATTTTGCCATGTTGTAATACACGATCTAGATTTTGCGTTGCGTTAGACTTCACATTATCTTACAGCAATATTTAGTGCATGCCGCAAACAAGTTATGTGCCTAGAGTGATTCATAGTTGCATTTCTTCGGAATGTGTGTATAGATGGAGAGAAGAATCATACTTATACCCTTAGTTGATTACCAACTGAAATGGTTACCAATCAATTTGCGAATGAACAAATTAATTATAATACAACATTAAATATAGAACAGATCGTATTCTATGCAGATTCGTCTTCAGTTATGGATTCAATCAGCGACATTGAAATCGGTGAAAATAGGCTAATTCAAAGAAAAGAAGAGTCTTGCCGTGCACATAATTGAAAAAAAAAACAATTATATAAGAAAATATCTCGTAAGTCGAGATGATAGTTAGAATTGCTAGTTACTATAGAGAACCTAGTATGGTATGAGAATTATCTAGTAGTGAAAAAAGAAAATTATTAACACTTATCTCTGACTCATAAATCAAGGAATATGAAAAAAAAGGTAGATGTCCAAATACCTTTTACTGATTTGTATATATGTTGTGAATTTTCAGATTTGTGAAATTAAGATGTGCACTTTTAAAAAAATCAATATCTAATCCTAAGAAGGTCATCTCAGTCGATCTATTGATGAAGTCTTGGCAAAAATATATTTAGTTTTTGATAGAAAAAAAACCCGTAAATATTAGAACTAATTTCTAGATAGTTTGGACATTTCTATCGTGTATGCGCGATATTAATGTTTGCCGAATCTTCCTTAACCATTCATTCATTTACAACCCGAATCCTAACGACTAGGTCATCGTGGAGATTCATTGCCTTGATACAAATATGAGAAACCGAATGATCTTGAACAGTCATATTTTCCACATCTATTTACTAGTATTTGTTTTATTATCTACAGAGATAAATTCGTAATAAAACTATCTTCATTTCTATCTTTCTTATCCTTCTACAAGAAGTGACTTTGACAACATACAAGAATCTGAAATTGTACAGAAGGTTTTCAAAAAGATCATGTTCTAAATACCATGGAGCTGTAATTCATCTCGTAGAATAGACGTATTGTACTTTGTTTTTATTCAATTTAATCATGATGTGCAGAAAAGGGTTTGACAGACAACTTGAACCTCAATTAGTTCAAATGACAAGCGCATATACGTTAGTTTTAGATTAGATAACGTAAAAGAAACAAATAGGTGAATCAGTTTCATTGTCCCATTGACCGTAAACGTAGACATCGCCGCGGACTTGTATTTGTTTTTTCAATTCTCCATTGGTGTAGTCGTCATCATCCAGCACAACAGCGTCATTGCCATTATGTATTTTGACCGAATGAGCATCAGGTATGACCATATGTATCGATACATGTTCATTATGGCGCAGAAAACTTTGTAGAGGCTGAATTAAAATACATCGTCGCATTTCGAATGATGGAAATGTATATGGAAAAAAAACAGATTGAGTTATATTTGCTCCAGGTATCCTTATAGAGATGGCAGCTCGATATGCCTTTTCTGTCTTGGTCTTAGCATAAATAATCACATTGTAGGGTCCATCTACAGCAGGTGGAGCGACATAACAAGTGACTTCATCGGAGTGAAACGGATCTTGCTGACAAAGTGTATGAGATTTTCTTGGATATTCAACACCACCAATGAATAATTTAGCAAATAAACACACAGACTCTGGCGACTTAATCGAAACTTTGAACAAATGTTGATCTGCTGCATATGGTGAGGCTTGATTTATGTTGAGCAAATGATTAATCGTTGATTCGGTCAATAAGCTATGATGGTTGCCGATGGAGGCACTCTGGCTAATCGATCGTTCCTGTTGTGTTTTAGCCATGATAGTGGTGCGGGAGGCGTTGTCAGAGGTAGTAACAAATGGTGAAGACTTTTGTTCAACGAGTGCCTCACGGACGATAAGTTGTAAACGTTCACTCCAGAGTTTCTGTTGTTGTTCAATTATTTCCATGAGAATTTTTTTCTGTTCAACGAATAAATGATTTAAAAGGCCAGCATCATCTCTTTGTGTGGTATTAGAGCGATTCTCAATCGTTTGTTCAAAACTATGTTTTAATTGGGTAATTGCAAGAGTCATTGACTCAAATTTTTCAACAGTTTTCGATATAACCTTTTGCACTTCTTTCTCGACTGTTTGAATCAATGTAAGTTGAAATTGATTGAGTGCTGTCGATGATTCATGTTGAGTTTTTGTTACTTGTGTCACGTTTTGTATAAAATGATCAATAGAAGAATCAATAGTTCTTATTTGCTTGTCATATGTACTTTCAAGTGAACGTTTTTGTTCTTCGAACAGATGAACTATTTCTTCTTTATTAAGTATCGATTTGGTTGATTCTTCGATTAAGACTTGTTCTTCTGCTTTGATCGATTGAAGTAGTATTGCATTTTCTGCCTTCAACTCCCTGTGAAATGAATCGGCCATTGACTGACGTTCGGTTTTAAGGATTTCATTCAGTTTCTGTTCAGCATCTTTTTTTTCATCTTCGACTTTCTTTGATGAGCCCTTAATTGATCGAATTAGTTCTTCATTATCTGCTTTGATTGCTCTACGCAGCGATGTGACTAGTGTTTGATGTTCAGTTTGCAGCATTTTAGCTATTGATTTTTCGATAGATATCGTCTCATTTTCGACTTTCTTGCGTGTTGCTGAACTAGTACGAGAATGATCTAAAAGGGAGGTGGCTGTGTGACGCCGTCTTGTTAATGAACTATGACTCTTCAGCATTGTACGATGCTCATTTGTAAGTCGGTGCTCAAAGTTCCCAGAAGTACGAAGAACAGGTAACGATCTCTGTGCAGTTCGAGTAATTCCACATCGTTCCTCTGTACAATCTGGACAACTAAAAATATAATAAGTATTTCCATATGTTGGACGATCCTTGCAAAGTCCTAAAATGTGATAAGTAGACGAATCTATCTTGAACGAATGGGTAATATCGTAATAATTGTTGTCATGATCTCTAGTAAGAAGACCGATATTTGTATGCATTTCTTTTTTTTTTTTGTATCGATATTATAAGATATTCCAAACAGATAATGTGCAGTAAATATCTATGCAAAATTTAAAAAAGTGTAACGAATAGAACATACTGGTAAGGTTGACATCTGGGGATATTTTTATGCGTATCTATCAACAGAAATCGATTCAAGATGGATGAGTTTTGCAACGATCGTTCAGTGAAACAGATATTGATATAAGTAATTAGTCTCGTTATAAAAGAGTGGCGTTCTAGTCCTCCCGTATGTACACTCAAGAGACAAACTCCTGATGCATCAAGAAAACGTTTGAAGAATCAAAGACAGAATAAACTGTTATTCAGAGGAAGAGAAGAAAATTGCTTCATAGAGATATGAAAGTGTAAAAAAATGATGAAATCAATACTCAGTAATCGAAGAAAAAATTCTGATTTTTTTTCATTCCATTTTAATCGTGCTTTCTAATACACTTATTACATTAAAAGAAAAAAAACCCATCCAACTTATTTCTACGATGCTTTCTGTTGCCTATGATTCTCAGTGTAAATGTTGACAACAATTCTTCTAGAGAGTAAAAGTAGCTGAAGAACTTTTTTTGTTATTCAGTTTTGCTATTAGTTAACTGTGTGAGTGTTTTTTGAAGGATGTAAGCTGTTGTGAGTTGTCAATGGAAGTGAACAAACAGTCGCATAGCACTTACGCAGCTTTTTGTTGCTGCATAAATTTGTAAAAACGGTAAAGAAAAAACTACTAACGTAAGATCACAGTGGTCAACAGAATTAACGAAATAGTTTTCTTAAGAGTATTATACTGCCATGTCATTTATTATCTAACCATTGTTCATAAATACCAATGAATGAAATCGCACAGCAAATAACAGTATAGTTCCACAGTTTCTAAAAATTGATCCTTATGTCGTGTCTGTTCATTAGTTCACTATGCATTATCGATGTACGTACTATGTCGTTTGCCAACATTTTTAATCGTGCTACGATCATAAGAAATAATCGTTGTTTGATATCAAATACATGTACGTTTCTGCTTGGCCATGTAAAATTGTTGAATCTATCCTGTTGTTATATATCAAGAGAGATGATCGAATCCATTTATTTTTGTTTTTTATTTTTGATGAAGGTTGTCCAAACATAGCTGAGATTTACTTGAAAACCCAATGGAATTTGTAGCACGTAACAATACACATGATAATAATTTTTATGATATCTGAATAATGGAAGTGACGAAGTGCTTGTTTATAGGGATATAGCTGCACTAATGGGTGCTATCGAGGAGAATTTTCTGGACAAAATGAAAATCACTTGAAAAGGAATATATAGCTA